GGCTGCACATGAATGTCTTTTAACCTTTATTCTTTTTACCTTATTTCCTTAAATTTAATGGACTGCATCCACAAAACTCTCAAATTTCATGAACACTTACCTATCTATCTACATAATGCATACATCCATATGAACATACATACATTAATGATTGTTGCTTAAGCAAAGACCTTGTCAAAATGTAGAGCATACAACTCTTTCACACTTAGAATTCAATTTGGACCATGTACAGAGAAGAAGTAATTTTAGCCACTGCGAGTAATTTCTGCAATGGTGGCTCCAAAGCTTCAAGTAAAGGGAGCTTTATTTATTTCCTGCTTGCACAGGAAACTAAGAGGAAGTGCCCTAAATGATGGTGGTTCCTTCTATCTTTATTACCTGACAGACATTAGTAATAACTTCAGTCTTTATTCCTCATAGAGACATGGTGTTGGCACATGCCCACGAACCAGAGTGTAGCCAAATTATGGGGTAAAAGAGACTTCAAACTTAGCTTAGGTATCTTCTTGTCTTCTTCTTGAAGTGCCTACAAGTGTCAAATTCCATCTGGAACTAGAATTTGTTGTCAGGAAAAACTTTTGTACTGTCATTATATATAGAATGTTCTCAAGGTATGGTATTACTTTTCCCAGAAGTATCTGAACCTGAAAGAACTTTCAAGAGTTGTGATATCAGGCACCGTTTTACCTTGAAAGTAACATTCTTAAGACTCCAGTTTACTTGATTTCTAATTAAAAACAAATCACAACTTATTCCACTCTAAGGCTTTATAATGAAGTCAGCAAAGATCCAGTCAATGTCAGGCAACTCTTGGAGGGCAAAGTGCAAAAGGGTTGCCATGTAGTTTTCTTCTTATTCTCTTATGATGTTGTATGCAGAGAAATGGGCTCCCCGTAACCGTGAAATAAGCACGTTTTACTAACACATTTTTATACTGCTTTCACTTCTATACCAAATAAGATCTGCTGCTTGAGTTCAATCCTTTGTGTGAGGTGATTAAAATAGATTATTTCCAGGACTATGACATTACTGAGTGAATTCTGCAGCAAGAAAAATGTCAATGTGTGAGAAGAAAGGGGAAGAGGACAGGTCTCTGACATTGCTTCCAAATATCCTGGAAGGTCAAAAATGCATGTACATTTGGAAAGAGAGGATCAAACATTACTAACAGTCTAATGAGATTGAGGTCCTATCGAATAAACTAGAAATGCAGAGAGATGAGAACATCCTAAAACACAAAACCTCTCCATCCAAATCCAAACAGAAAGTGTGGAGAGAAATGACTGACTGCACACATTTCTGAAAACTAGTGTCTTAAAGCTGATGGGAAGGCTGTGCTGGACTACTCAAACTCACTTTTCTCTTTTGATCTATGCTCTAGTTTTTCTTCAGTCTCATAGCTCTTGAGTAGTTCTTAAATTTTTATTGTAGAAATATTTCAAATGTAAACCAATGGAGAGAGTGCATGAGAAGCTTCAATCTAACCAATATCCACTGTTTTCACGTGGTAACAGCTTTGGGGTAAATGCCAGATATTGCCCTTATGATTCATCTCCAGGAACCATAGCCAACACTTTTGTACGTCCATGAAGTTTTTTTTTTAATACACAATACAATTATTGTGCACAAAATCAATATCTTTGCTATCACATATATAGCCAGTGTTCAAATTTTCCTGACCCCCCCCCCCCCATTATCTAAGCTGATTTGTGTGAATCTGAGTTCCTATGAAGAGCCTCTGCTAGGTTTGGTTGATACATTTCCTTACACTCTTTCATAGTTTAATAACACTGCATATAGCTTCTGTGCAGTCAATTGGCTAGGCACTGTTAGCTCTTCAGATGTAGGTGTTAGGGTTGGTCTGTTCAGTTCCAACATT